CAGAGCCAAGCCGCTGCCTACCGAAAACTGTCTGTTTTATTAAAATAGTAGAGTCAACACTACATTCTACATATTTCTATATTTCCTCATGTTCACCTCTTACCATGGATCCCTGGGCTGATGAATTCACGAAGCCACGGCTATATGCGACAGACTCGACTCGCAATGCTCCGATAAAGTATTTATTTTTAAAAACCACTGAGGTCAGACGCGCTTACCTTCCATGTGATCCTAAGCTGCTTGGATTGCCGATGAGCATCAAAATATCAAGGCATCCAATCCGCTGTCCTCTTTTGAATCTGATGTAACCTCTTTTTGAGAGAGCATCTCGTTATGTAGAAATAAAATGAACTCGATATCCGTAGATGCGTGTCGTGAACTCACGCAGATCTATGGCACAGTTTTGTTCAATTGTGCTCGTCTTAAATAGTGGTAAACGAGCACAGCAGATAGAAGTTTACTGGTGGTAGGACCACTTCCGGACGTGAGTCCGCGCGGGTAGGTACCACCGCCCTGCCTATTTCTGCCGTGAAGCAGTAATGCGTTTCGGTTTGAAGGGTGGGGCAGCCGTTGTAACTTTACTGAGACCTTAGAACTTGCATCTCAAGGTGGGTGGCGCGTTTGCGTTGTGGATGTCTATGGGCTCCAGTAACCACTTAACACCAGGTGGGCTATGAGCTCGTCCACCCATCTAAGCAACAAAAAAAAAAGAAGCTTTGAAGTCATTTCTGTAGACAGTCTTATTTGCCAGTCATTCCGTCGAGTATGACCGATATAGAGACTCAACAAACATAATAACTGAAACCAATGGTCCATCGTAAAGTTTGAAATATGCAAATCGTACGGTTACAGTTTAGCGTTTAGATGCTGATTTTTCATAAATTCTTTTACGACTGATCGCTAAACATTGTAGCTTACTCTTTTATTTAAAAAATAATATATATAATAGTTTGAAAACAACTAACAAAATACGCTTTTATAGAAAACCCAACTAAAAAATAGAAAATAAATTTTAAATAAAAATAGTGTAAGAAAAAATTATTTTATTGTAATGAAGCTAATAAAAGCGTATTAAAAATATATTTATATATGACGGTGCCATGGATGGTTGAGCAGTAGCACGTTCCTGAATTGGATAATTCGTGGGGGAAATTGTTCCTTAAGAAATATCGTTGAGTGTAGCTCTATCGCAGTGGGTGCTGTGCAATGGTAGCAACACTGGTGGAGCCTAGCCGAGGATATGACGGGATTTAAGTCCTTAAGCAGTGGTTTTGAATAGTGGGGAAGCCGTTACCTTCCACTATCGAGGTTTCGGAGTCAAAACATTCATATTGTGTGTTCTATGGGCTGCAATAACTGCTTAATACCGGATGAGATAATAACCATGAAAACATCAAAACATACAATCAGAGATAGTAAAAAGCGGTGTGTATATTAAAAAAAAAGTAATAAAATCAGAAAGGGTATTGTGGTAGTAGCCATCATATAACACAATATTGACAATTGACGATATTTGACAAATGCCTGAATCTCGCTTACGACATTTTGTTTATAACAAGATTCGCGCGCCGATTTAAGTTCAACATAAAATCGAAATTTTAGTTTAATTTGTATCGTGTAGTACCTAGCGTCGTTTACTCCTTTTTGTTTATATTTTAATATTGTCCACATACACTATAAACATTATAAAGATTATTAAAATAGTGCGATTGACTTTTATCAACTCTGAGTAAGAATTTCCCGCTAATCTCCTCCTCGCGTCGTTTCCTCACTGCTGAGGGTCGTGACCATTATAATTCGACATGATTTTACTCCTTGTGATGTCCCGCCAGCGCCTCCGATCATTGGCCGCATGAAAGGCGTCGTGGAATGGGATCTCTAGTGTGGTGCGGATTTGGTCGAACCGCCTTGTCGGACTGCGCCCGCGCGGTCTCTTTCCCTCGATCTTCCCTGTCACGAATAGTCTTTCTAAGCTATCCGGTGTTTTCCGAGCAATATGACCGAAGTACTCGAGTGCGCGGCGAAGGCAGAGTGTGGACAGTCTAGTCTTGATCTGCAGTTGATCTAAGATAGATTGATTGCCAAGGTATCCGGAGCATTCTTCTTTCCCGCTAATACGTAGAGCAAATAGCAAACCACAGCTTAACGAAGAGTAATACAATTTAATCTGTCTGTTTTTAGAATTATTTTATGTTTGTCAATCTATCTGTTTGTCGATTAATCTTATCAATCAAAAATTCTAGTTCAACTTAAGTACATCGAATGCTATTAGTTAACGAAGTTAATTGTGATTGTCTATACTAATATTATAAAGAGGAAATATTTGTTTGTTTGTTTGTATTGAATAGGTTCCGAAGCTACTGAACCGATTTAAAAAAATCTTTCACTGTTTGGAAGCTACACTATTTCAGAGTGACATAAGCTATAATATTTTTGGAAAAATATTAGGGATGCTTACTAAAACTCTAATAATGTAACCCAAGGTGTAAAAAAATGACCTAAAATATTCTTTACATCGCATGCCCTGGGAAAGCTATTGATGATAGAATAAAATAATGTACTGCAACTTTGTAGAACACATTATTATTTACAAAAAATGTCGCGACAGCATATGTCTAACTATTATAGTTATGCCGCAATAAGTGTTCTTTTATTTAAAAAAATAAAACAACGTCAAATAGCGTTGAAATTTTTTGAAGACCCGAGCGGAGCCGGAGTGCGCTGCTAGTTACAAATACTTTTGTCAATGTGTACATTGAATATTATCACTAATAGTGATACCAATTGAGATATTCGGTATAGGATTAACAAAAAGCTCAGCGGAAATCCCTTGAACTGTGTAAGGCGTCACGTTCTTTGAGAGCTTACAAGCTTCGATCCGAACAGTTTCGTTTATACATATTAACACGAAGTTATTTTCATTCTTCTTTCAATTTGCGTTGTTTTATCCACGTCATGAAATAGCAATTGTTGTTGTGGTTGTCATAGATGACTCGTGATACGTTGCCAGGAGTGCCCGTAAATTATATTGTTATAGTTAATGTTACTTTTGATACTAACCGTTTTTTACTTTACTAATTTTTACCTAAAAATCGCTAATCGAGTGCGGCTACTGACGCGTACATAATATTTAGGTTTATCGTTACACGTTTTTCTTTTGTTTTGTAGTTGACATATGAAAAATAGCTGAGTATCCCAAAACGTTCATTTGATATTAATATTTACTAGAGGTCCCGCAGTAGTCTAAATTCGACTAAAATTAATTGGAATTGTAAGTTTGTACACTATTATGATTGTATTTTATACTTCTATAATCACAAATTTCGCCAAAGCTACTCTATAAAAAAATATTAATAAAGACAAACAATATTTAATCTATTCTCAATTTGACCACAGACGTCAAGAACAAAAGTCTGACATTAAATAGTATGCATGCGTGTGTGCGTTAAATACATGGTATGTAGTGTGTGTAATGTTTTCTTTATTGATTTAATGTATCTTTTATGCATTATTTAAAAAAAATATTAGCATTGTGCACTCCTTCTCTATATTCTCTATAGGTGTGGAAAATTTCATACTTCTCCGTCCGCGCAATTTTCGTAAAAAGGGATACAAAGTTTTTACTTCACGTATTCATATATAGATAGATCATCAATAACTACTGAATAAACAAAGTTCGATGACGAATTCAATGACCTGGGAGCAAATAGGAACAAACAATTATGTACTATTTAAACGCAAAAAAAAACCTGAAAATTTTGAAGAAAAAATTATTGCCAATCAAAAATGTCGTCAGTAGCTAATAAAAAAGGAAAATCCGTTTCCAAACAGAAAAGTAAGAGACACTAAAAAGCCTTTTTAAAAACCGTTCTATTATGGAAAAGCTTTCACTGATAAAGTTTATCAAGTTGACAACAGACTAAACAAAATAAAAATGGTTGATAAACACCAGGGAAAATGATGTTTAACTGTTTTGTTTGCCTATTAGATACAGATAAGCTATGAGTCCATTAGGCAGTACGACTATTTCTTAATTTAATAGCTGGACTACATATGAGTCAATCAGTAACTTTCAAGCAAAAATTTTTTTTTTTTTTTTTGCTTAGATGATTGGACGAGCTCACAGCCCACCTGGTGTAAAGTGGTTACTGGAGCCCATAGACATCTACAACGTAAATGTGCCACCCATATAGTTACAACGGCTGCCCCACCCTTCAAACCGAAACGCATTCCTGCTTCACGGCAGAAATAGGCAGGGCGGTGGTACCTACCCGTGCGGACTCACAAAAGGTCCTACCACCAGTAAAATGTTTTCAAATCAGTGTTATATCAAACATTTCTCTGTACGTTTCTCTTAAGACAAGTTTGTGTACGCCGGGTAAAAGCAAAGCAAAAAATAAAATGAACATAGCATTCCACACTGTTTGAAATTACTTTGATAAACACCTCCCAGCGATCGCATTAATGTATCGTTTCTGGTACTTTCCAATATCCTCTTCAACGATTCTTTGGGCAATAAATTTTTCAAACTGACGTTTGTTAAGATGGCATATCCGTACTCATAAATATTCTTGTCGGAAAATAGTTGAGGGCTATTAGCTATAAATTTCGTATGTGTTGTTATTATAGCCAATTCCGAGATTCGTTGAATTAGAATTCACTGAGTTTAAATAGCTGCTTTTGTTCCTTTATTCCTGCTTAATTTTTTTCTTTTTTGCTTTTGTTCTTTTTTTTTAAAAGAAATCATAAAATTAAATTTAACAAAATCATTAAATGAAATTTACAATTTTACTTACAGTGCTTTTCAAATAAAAGACATTAAAGAACAAACAAAGAGTTTGAAATCAAACAAAATAAAGCGAATGAAAAAGTTACTTTAAATTTAAATTAAAATGTAATAAATAAATAGTCTCACATAAACTTACCGATCTTATAAAAACAATAATATTCACGAATAAAAACCCTTAAGTGCAGTGAGAATGTTCTAAAATCAAATAAAAATGGATCGAAGTGAAATTTCGTTTGAAAATATGACTTTCCTTGAGTGGAATGGCTCAATGGGCGATGAACTAAACATGCCCCATTTGGACTTAGAAGTGTTCTATAGACCCGACATAGTGATCATCGCGCTGTACGTGGGTGTGCTGACCGCATCCCTATCTGCCAACACGCTGCTAATATTCGTCGTCATCAAGTTCCAATACATGCGAAAGTGAGTGATTTGCGCTTTGTTTTTAAGTGTTTTTATTTCACTGATTATGCTAACGTGTTGATATATAGCTAACAGATCAGCTATGCCCTTCGTATTGCTGACGTGTGAATGATCTGCTTTCGAGGCCCGTAAAGATAAATATTGTATTTCATTATGTGGGTAAATGTAGAGCCGTCTTTGTTGGTTGAACTACTTACTAGTGATCCATAGATATTACACGTTCACCAAGCGTTATTATCATTTCAGCCTTGATAGCGATCTCTGGTATTGTTCATTTTGAAATGTGTTTTAGTCTTCTTAACGTTTAAACAGCCCTATTTCTATTTGGGCATAAGAAAACTATGCAAATATTTATTGTTAACAAAAATTTATTTGTGAGAATCGAAAGAATCTGTTTTTTTAACTGAAAAAAATTAACTGGAGAAGGTCGCCTAATGATGTACAGGTGAGTGAAATCATAGTTCGCTTAGAGTAAGTAGAGTACCTTCTGAAAGTGAGCATTAATACATTAAGATAAAGTGTTAACTTCAATGACATCGTAAGTTTGATTTTTGGTTTATAAGCTTAAAGGGTTTAAAAAAACTATTGCGATTTCACATAGTTTTTTTTTAGCTTATATGGTTGAACGAGCTCACGGCCAACCTGGTGTTAAGTGGTAACCAGAGCCTATAGACATCTACAACGTAAATGCCGCCACCAACCTCGCGACATGAGTTGTAAGGTCTCAGTTTTAACAGTAAAACGGCTGCCCCACCCTTCAAACTGAAACGCATTACTGCTTCACGGTAGAAATCGGCAGGGTGGTGGTACCTATCCGTGCGGACTCACAAGATATCCTACCACCAGTTCATGAATGTGACTGACATTTTTTTTTGTTTAGTTGGATGACCGTTTTATTGGTTATCGAAGGCCATAGATATCACTCACGTAAACGCTTCAGGTCATTGACTCAATCGTATTTTTTGTATATGATATTTAAAAACATGCTATTTTCAGTTTCGTTTGCATTACGCCCTTGGTTTCACATATTAAATCTTTTAAATCAAAGCGGTATTGTTCGAAACAATTGAACTTCACAGTCAGACGAGTTATGGCCGCGCGCATTCTCTTCTGTAACGGATAGCCGCTGATTGAAATGTTTTCCCTTTCAATACAAATCAATAGTTCGTTTCTCGCTCAGCGCGCGAGCTGATCTATCGTCAATCGTTAACGCTTCCTATGGAGGCTGATGTATATGAACGTCCCCTTTTATCTTAAAGGCTATTAATATTTTACACTGTTCCTTGGGTTTTGTTTATTACCGTGTGTTCGTTATCTCGAAGAATTTTAACAGCATTAGGTACGTAGCTGCCTAAATTTTATATCGTATTGGAATCTGTAAGTTTTAAATTAAATGTATTCACAACATGTCGTCTTGAGTGTTCGATTGAAAAACTTTTTAAATTATATGTTCTTAAATGCAGATAGAGCAGGCGATTTCACGGCATACAGATAGGGCCCATTAGTATCTATAGACTTAAAATACTATGATTATTTTAAGTCTATAGATTTTACTGGTGGTAGGACCTCTTGTGAGTCCGCACGGGTAGGTACCACCGCCCTGCCTATTTCTGCCGTGAAGCAGTAATGCGTTTCGGTTCGAAGGGTGGGGCAGCCGCTGTAACTATACTGAGATCTTAGAACTTATATCCCAAGGTGGGTGGCGCATTTTTGTTGTAGATGTCTATGAGTTCCAGTAACCACTTAACACCAGGTGGGCTGTGAGCTCTTCCAACCATAAATAATCTAATAAACCAATAATCCAAGCAATAAAAAAAAACCATTATTAATTACGTAAATGATTCCTTTATTAATTTTCTTAATCCGATATTGTTCCTTTAAGCTGAGAGTCTTTCTTAAGCTCTTAAAATGATGTAGAGTCCGTTGTTAAAAGCACTTTAAATTCTTGCATAATATTCGTGAAAAATAGTGACGCCTAAATATAATAAATAGTTTATTAGTTCAGCCTTCAGGAGCACTAGCGTCGGGACCCATAACTCGCGGCCAGAATAATAACAATAACCGAAATGTTACTGCCGCGAAACTCATACGAAATTGACAGAATAAAATTGTACCTACAATTACTTTATATATATTTTTACCATAGCTAAATAGGCCAGTTCAGCTGATGTTAAATAGTCACTGGAGTCGATAGATAGCGAGACTTCATTGAAACGTGTTGCAAAACGTGCTTACTGTAATGTCGCATTGAGGACGTTTTTGCTTTTTGAAACTCCTTTTTTAGATTTGCAGTCAGTATCAAAAAAATATAGACTTCGCTCATGTGTCTTCGTAATGTCTCAAGGTGGGTGGTGGGTCGTGTTTGTTTATGGGCTCCAGTAGTCATGTAACACGATGCGAGGCCTGAGGTCTCTGTCTCGTGTAGTGCACTAAATAATAATAATGAAAGCTTTTCTTACTTTTCAAAGCTTCGACAGGACTAAGATTCCGCATTGGTCTTAAAACAATTTTTTCTGCTTTTCAACCAATATGTTCAATTCAATTTCATACCCTGAAACCTAGAGATAAGATTGTATTAAGGCAATCCTAAGAATATAATCATTGAATATAGCTTAAAGGAGACATTCAACAGATTAATTTTACATGATGGTAATAACACAACGTGAATATATACTAATCTTCTTATATCAGATTAATATGAAGCACATTATCCGAGTATTATATGTCTGATTATGATATAATTGGGAAATATAGATCTCGGCTTAGCGAAGGCAGCGCCGGCGATGTGAAGTTGATCAAAGTGATTAGCGGTTTTCATCTTCCGAACGTCGACGCGAATTGGGAATTTAATTCGTTGTCTTCATCCTACCTATCTTAGCCGCTTGGTGCCTTGATTTTGGAATATATCTTTTGGAAGATATCTTTTGGAAAATATCTTTTGGAAGATTTAGAAATAACGTGGCCACTATCAAATTAAACCTACTTGGGAGCGAGTTTCATAACACAATCTTGGCAAGATCGCGATGAGCAGCTGCTCTTACACGTCCCTCTATCTGATGAAACTGTGAGATGACAGCGATAGGTAGTGTTACCAGTGATATGGTTCTGCCATTCGTATACCGATGCCGGGAGATTGTCACTTTCCATCAACTCCCGAGCGCTACGACATGTCCTTTTTCAAACGAGGATAGTGGAGAGTACTTAACGGTAGGCAGCGGCTTGGCTCTACCTCTAGCATTGCTGAAGTCCATGGGCGACGGTAACCACTCACCATCAGGTGGACCGTGTGCTCGTCTGCCTATAAGGGCAATAAAAAAAATGGGATGCAAATTCACGGGAAAAAAGCTAATTAAAGCTCCATACCACTGTCCGTCTCCTTCGGTTCATGGTATGTAGATGTCTTTACAATATTTGTACATGACAAAGAAATGACGGTACGTTAAAATAAAAAAAAAGAGAACGATTGAACTTTTGAATTATGATTTATTAGTCGTTTAGAATCACTGAAACTGCCACTGCAGAAAAATTAAAATTACTTATTTGTGGTATTAGTTAATGTCCACTATTTTACTGGGAGGTAATCATAATGAGGGTTTCATAATGTTATCTAACACATACGTTCAAATGTTATATATATATATATAAAAAAAAAAAAATATATATATATATATATATATTTTATTGCTTAGATGGGTGGACGAGCTCACAGCCCACCTGATGTTAAGTGGTTACTGGAGCCCATGGACATCTACGACGTAAATGCGCCACCCAGCACTTATAATTCCATTTCATTTCATAATCAATGATCAATCATCATTTCTTTTTTCATCATGGCTGCAGCTTATGTTCCTTATAGTTGGGGTAACTATATGGGTATGGGTAACATTCCCTTTGCCTCGAAAATGGAAGAATCAATAAGGCGTTTTTTACGAGAATAAAAATCCTTAGGGTAATTTATTTCGTAATTACATATTCGTAAACCACCAATTACAATCTAAGTTATAACGTAATGAAACAAGTTAAGCCTGTTAGACAATGTAAATTGAAATCGCTCAGGTTTACGGCGCAATACAATAACAAATGCTAAAATCAATCAAAGCTCTTTCACACAAATCTTACTAACCTCAGACAAAATGATGCTTGACATTTAGATCAATAGTTTATTTAATTAAAAACTCATCTATCTCAGACCGTTTACAAAAAAAAAAACACTTTAAAAAAATTTGAGAGTCATCGGTTATCAATTAATAATCGTTAGTTTTTAACTTCAACTTAAAGTTCGAAGTTTTTAATCTGGAAAGGACGAAAAGTCAAAAGCCCTTGGTGTTGAATAGTCGATATTTTTATAGTATAGACACAATGAGCGAGCTCAGACATTCTTATCAAGTGTTTGGCAGAGCCCGTAGACATAATAATGTGGATGCAGCTACCTAGCTTTAGACATGAGCCTGAGTCACAAGCGCTTAGAATAACGATTGTCCCATACTTTGAAATGAAACCCTTTACTGTTATTCGGCAGAAATAGGCAGGGGATTCTTAGAAGCGCAGCCTCTACGCTCTACCACCTCTAAAGTAATTAATTAATTGCTATGTTTTTATTTCAATTCATATCATAGTATCGTACAACATACGCATGTATTAAAGCCCGTTTGAGGAAGGACACGGAAGCTTTAATGAATTCGGGGCCCCTACTTTCAGAAGAGGAAGAGGTAGACTTAAGAAAAAAATGATGGTATGCGTGAAAGAGGGAAGTGAGCGAAGAAACCGTATATGATAGAAGAGTATGGAAGGAGAAAACATGTTGCGCCGACCTCAGGTAACTGGGAGAAGGGCAGGAGAATGATGATGATAAATGACTCTCAGAAGGTTACTATATATCCACCCAAACTTGCATGTAAGCCATTTCGCTAAGTAATCTATGCTCTCTAGGATTTTTCGTTCGATTGACTTACAGCTTTGCATAGTTGTTGTAAGAACTTCAGCAATTTATTTTGTTACGA